AGTATTTAATTGTATCCCATGCTGTCCGTCCTGGCATTTAACGCACGTGCCACTTGCCTGGTTGGAAGACAAAAGGAAATTCTTCGCGTCGATAAAGTATTCTGCTATGTTCTCATACACTTTGGGTAAATAGAGAAGACACTAGCAACTAGAATAGCTGTTAGGAAGGTACCTTTTCGTCGAGGGAGAGTGTTTAAAATTGAGAGTACTCAATAAACAAACGTTATTTATTTTATTTTATTCCTTGACTGCTGTGCTTTACGGGATCGGATTCGTTGGATGTCACTGAGATCAAGTTATGAAACTAAGGCGGTTGGGCACATTACTCAACACGCTATCCTTCATCTGTCCCCTAGATAGCCACGTTTAAAAAAGGTGACGTTTTTAACATTCTTCTTTTAAAATATGTCGCGAATTTTTTTTTATTAGTAAGCACACATTTTTTTTGTATTTAATATCAAATCCACAAAACATGGAGGTATCAACCAATCAAAGTAAGACTATCCTTCTTCTTCTTCGTTCTTAATCCTAATGTTGGACGAAATTTCCTTAACGCAATTAATTAAGTATAAAGTGTCAATTTGTTCAATATAATATAAGCAGTTGATTCCGATTTCAGCCTGCTTTTCTTTCTGGATTTCATAGTCTTGGTTTATCCAAGAACAAACTACAAGGCAACAGCTGTTTGATTTTGGAGTTGTCTTTCCTAGATATGTTGCTTTCGAGCCTCATCTGCCAGTGTTCAAACTCGGGACTTTTCGGTTTAGTAACCCTAAGTGATTAATTTAAACAAAAAATGAAGTCTAAACGCATGTAGTCTATAAGGCAAGTAGTCTATAAGGCAAGTAGTCTATAAGGCAAGTTGTCTATAACGTAAGTAGTCTATAAGGCAAGTAGTCTATAACTCAATTAGTCTATAAGGCAAGTAGTCATAACGTAAGTAGTCTATAAGGCAAGTAGTCTATAACTCAATTAGTCTATAAGGCAAGTAGTCTATAAGGCATGTAGTCTATAAGGCAAGTAGTCTATAAGGCAAGTAGTCATAACGTAAGTAGTCTATAAGGCAAGTAGTCTATAAGGCAAGTAGTCTATAACTCGAGTAGTCTATAAGGCAAGTAGTCTATAACGTAAGTCTATAAGGCAAGTAGTCTATAACTCAATTAGTCTATAACTCAAGTAGTCTATAAGGCAAGTAGTCTATAACTCAAGTAGTCTATAAGGCAAGTAGTCTATAACTCAAGTAGTCTATAAGGCAAGTAGTCATAACGTAAGTAGTCTATAAGGTAAGTAGTCTATAAGGCAAGTAGTCATAACGTAAGTAGTCTATAAGGCAAGTAGTCTATAACGCAAGTAGTCTATAAGGCAAGTAGTCTATAACGCAAGTAGTCTATAACGCAAGTAGTCTATAACGCAAGTAGTCTATAAGGCAAGTAGTCTATAACTCAAGTAGACTATAACGCAAGTAGTCTATATCGTAAGTAGTCTATAAGGCAAGTAGTCTATAGAAACGTAAAGAGATTCTCAAATATTTTGTGCTAGTGCTGATGTCAAGTTCACCATTAAAGAAGGTCTCATCACATCATAGACTTCAGCCGAACTAGTTCACAACAACTAAACGTTTCGTCAAGCAGATGACCATAGACAGTACATCAACATCTTGTCATGCCAAGTGACATAAGGAAATAAGCAATAATCTTGTCATGCGCAACTGACATTAGGAAATGAGTAATAATCTTGTCGTGACAAATGGTCAAATACAATGAGTAGTAAAACAGTCAAACCAAATGACCTTAGAAAATGAGTAATAATCTCGCCGTGTCAAATGACCGGGGTCGTACCATGTCCCGACCTCAGCCAATCAAACGTAAGATAACAGAGATGCGAAACGCTGCTGAATACACATATTTATGTGTAGGCTGTATTGCTAAGGACGCTTATATTTTTTTTTTGTAATGGTGACTTTACTGCTTCATGATCATAAAGTTAAGTTTTATTCTGGTGATGCTAATTTGTCAATATTTTAATTTATGAATCATTAAAATAATTTTGATTAAGTGTATTATTTAGAAATTGTGTGTGTTAATTTAAAAAAAAATGATTAAAATATATTTTTAATGCATTATTATTACGCTTTATTAGTATTTCACAGCTTATCATTAGGAGAATAAATAATAACAACTGCATTGGCCTACTGATTAATTAACAGTTTCTTGTGAAAAATATATCGTGTCATACCATTGTCGCACATCTTTGAAAAACAAAATTCTTTTCAAATGTTGTGTTGAAAGTCTACTTTTTTGAAATACTAATCACTTGTTCACAGTGTTTCTTCAAGACTTTTTTCTCCGGCTTGGCAGAGCCCCCCCCCCCCCCCCCCGAAGAGATGCCTGGAAGAAACTCTTATTTAAAGACCTTGTTGCCATGAGTCCATGGACCCAGTTCCGCCTCACAGCTGACCTACCCCGCCCCCCCCACCAACCGGACGTGTCTTGACCGGATGTGCAATGACAACCAGACAGGCGCCGGAATTAAAATACCATCCGATTTCATTTAACGTTAAAGTCAGTAGTTAGATAACTGCTATTAGTTACGTTTGACCTTAGTTCTATTAATAACTCTAGACACTGCTACGTGAAGAGCCGAATAAAAAAATTCTAGGAAATAATAAAAAAAAAAAGAATTATGAGCGTTGATGTTGGTGATTTATTTTAGAGTCTTTTTTTTAACACAATGGCTATTTAAAATTAATGTCACAAATAATGTTTATTTTAGGTTGGGTAATTATTTTTTACTAAGTGTTTTGAAAGAATATTTTAAAATTTTAATCAACTAGACATCAAGATATGGTTAATTTTGCATTTAAAAAAAACTAAATCTAATTTCGTTTTATTTTAGCTCGGGAAAACCCATTCTGATAAATTGCTTGAAATGTTGATTGCTATATTTAGCACACAGCGTATCCGGTTTATTACGGGCATGCCGGCTGGTCATGGCGCAGTAATGAAGCAACTATTAATCTGTCACTTTCGTTTTCAATCAGAAAAATGAAAAATTATCCGACTAATTTTTTAAAAAGATGGGATTTGCGTAGATGATAATTAGGCGTTGGTGGGCTTAACATCTTGCTTTTTTTTATAACAGAAGGTGTGGGTGTATGCTAGCTTAGTCCTTAAAGCGAACAGACGAATTGTCATGGACAATATCAATATAGCCGGTGGAAAAATTCAAAGAAAGAACTAGAACATTTCAAATATATTGACGAGGTTTACACTTAGCCACCGTCGGTGTATGACATTATAGTAAGAAAATTATCGCGAGGTATAGGTTGTATAAGTCGGGGAGGGGGAGGGGAGGGGGGTGGGGAGGGGTGGAGGGGGTTCGTCGGAAGGGGCTGGGGGGGGGGGGGCTGTGCCGTTAACTGCTCATTATCATATTATCATTATCAATTTATACATGTAGGTATGCCATTATTTTCTGAAAATAATGTATGTTTCTGTTTACTTTTTTCTTAATCACGTCTCATTCATATATTAAACTGTCATTAGCAACTTAAGTAAAGCTCATTAGTAAAGACAGATTGCAACCTAATTAATTAAGAAACAAAAAGCTTTCTCACCCACGTTAAGTGCCGCAAGACATGCGGGTTCCCATCAGTTTGGCTTCTCTCTCCCTAGTTTGGCAAATCTGTCAGAGTCCTTTTTTCCCATTCCCCGTAACTCTTCCTGGCCTGAATTTATTTCGGCATTTCTTTGGTTGTCCGTAGAGTAAGAATTACCATCAGCACTTGTAAGAAAGATTCTGGGTGTTAAATAATATGTTCAGTATTTTAAAATTCTACTTATTAAACACTATGGGAAAACAATAGCTAAAACTATAACAATTTTATTAGATCATGAAATGCCATCACCATTACCATCATTCCTGTGGACTATTTGTCGAGCTCAGTGATCCATCCTCAACTCTCCACCGTACTCGGTTCTAGGCTATTCCTCCAATGGGCCTTCGTCATTGTGTCTGCTTCTGTTTCACTGAAAATAAATTTTCGCCAAGACTGTTTTTGCCTGTTCATCGGCCTCTTTTCTTATTGCCCTGTGATTCCGTGTCTTGTTATTCTGGGGACAGGCTCCCTGAGTGTGGCCGATCCATCCACATTTTCTATGGAGGATCTCTTTTTCAGCTGGCAATTCATATGTCCGTTGCTATAGACGCCTCTCATGAGTAAGTGATGGCTTTTTATAAGGCTGTTGTGCTTTATTTCTAACCTAGATTGTTTTTGTAAGATGTTATGCTAGTGAACAAAAAAAAAGACCTTGAAATAAAATTTGTCTGCTGTATATCGAAACAAAACATATCTATGACAACGAAATTAGTATTTATTTTCCGATTGTTTTTAAAGAACCGGATCACGTATCTATAGACATTAATTAGAATACCGAATGACAGCAAATGCGTGACTGCACTCATTTGCACTGTGATAAAACAAGCGGATTGTGTGTGGGCGTGTTTTATACTTCAGATTTGTCTCCCTTGTTCTCGCCGTGAAGTCTCAGCTATGTAGCAGCGATGTGTTCATGTATGCTTTTTGTTGGGAGTGTTGATTGATGTCGACCAATCGTAAACAGCCGTTCAAAGGGAGGTCAAACCATTTTATTTGCGGACACCTTTCATACTTGTGCCACGGTGATGGTTTTGACCTTGCTGCAACAGCAGACATGCCAAGCTGCCAGATTTTTAGGAAGTTAGAGTTCAAATTACAATCTGCGTTTCTATTTTACAAGTTCGGATTAGAATATAAGACATTCATCGTGAAATTTGTTTTCAGAAAACTTATATCTGACTAAAAAAAAGCATTCAATTTTACTGCCGAAGGCTGTTATTTTAAAATTTCAGAATACACGAAGATTTCTAGTTTTTGATTCAGTGGAGTTGGCAGCCAATAGAAAGCGAGGTTTCAACCCGTATCTTCGACCAATCAGAACGCAAGATGTCCGCGAAAGAAAAAAAAAGTTCCTTCTTTAAATCAAGCTCTATATATTAGCGCCATCCACCCGAAAATCTAGGAGCAAAAAAAAAAAAAGTGAAAAAATTGTATTTGAAAGTTAAGGGACAGCACCTATAAAAGGCAGAGAAAAGGGACGCTAAATTGTGTGCCGTAGCGAGAGGCTAGAGAGTAGACTAACAACAAACACCAACAAACTTTAGTGCTATTCGGTTTGAAAAGTTTTATTTCAAGTCACATCAACTTTTATTCTATTTTTACACCACAAAGATTAACCGTAAGTATATTTTTCCCCATTATATTTTTTTTTCATACATTAATATTTGAAATATGCCAGCTAATATCTTTAAAAGCTTTTCACTGTTTAGAATTTTTCTCTCTCATAAAAACTAAAAGAGCAAATCTAATAAGCAAGTAAACGAAAGAGTTTGGTAGTATTGTGATAAGAAGAGTGTTTTATAAAGCCGAGTAAATATTCTTCCATGTATACAAACTGTATTTTTAAAATCTGCATTAACAATTAATAAAAGTAATTGCTTATCAATTAATAAATTAGTTTAAGGTTTCACTTAGGTAAGATTTTACAAGTACTTATCCGATTTCATCATTTCCCTTTCGTACCCAAGACACACGGGGCAGATGAAGTAGAGTTCATCTGCATCAGATCACTATGCCCAACCGGCTCAGAGATCATCAAAGCTGACTCATGGACGTTCCACTGATTTGAAACTGGATTCGAACTCGTCACTCTCGGGTTAGCTGTCTAGAACTCTACCGCTAGGCCACGTCGTTCCATCATAATTGATAAAAAAATTATTTATTTTATTAGATTTGAACAATACGATTCTTCATCCTTATAGGTCTACACATAAACATAATATTCTCTCTCTTTCTCTCTCCCTCGCTCTCTCTTTATATATATATATATATATATATATATATATATATATATATATATATATATATATATATATATATATATATATATATATATATATATATATATATATATATATATATATATATATATATATATAGTATATATATATACTATGTGTATATTTATATGTTACTATTAGCCAGAGCCCGCATTAGTCAAACACAACACATATCATGCTATCCATTCATTAAAGCGCAGACAGTTTGATTTAGAAGATCGCATTTTAATCTAACAGCCAGTGATTCTCACTTCAGCGCTCGCTAATTTTTTAACACGTTTTATATTTGTAGGGGGTGGTTTTCATGTATTTTTTTGTATCCTGTTATTTATGTTTACAATTGTTACATAAGTACGCTGCTACAAATTGTTTTTTAACAAGTTTTTATGTTTGTAGTGAGTGGTTTTCATGTTTTTTTATTTCTTGTTATTAATGTTTACAATAGTTAAATGAGTAGGCCTACGTTGTTACAAATTGTTTACTCATTTTTAAAAATCAAACCAAGAGCAAAAATGTCTCCTATGAGAGAAGCATATTTCTCTAACATGCATTAGTTCTCATTACTAGATTTATAATTGGAAAATAATGCGAAATATAAAACTGTCGGTTTTCCAAAGTGTTGATGTACGGGGAGAGGGAATCATATAACAATTTATAAACTAATAGCTTGTGATCCTTCTCCCCGCCCCCTCCACAGATGAGGAGTATTGATTTAAACTTATGTTAAAAAAAATAATTATACTACCCCTTATGCCATAAGCTACTAGGACTGACTCCTTTACTTGCTGACCTCAATAGCATAGGTAAATTAGTCTGTTGCCAACTTTAACCATAGCGACATATCTAACCTTGTTTCCTGCCAATTTTAACCTTAACGTCATACCTAATCTTGTTTGAGTCTAGCTGTAACCTTATACGACACAAAAAAATCAAAATCCCACACTTATTTTTCTTTAATCCTCCCTTCAGCTGAATCACAATACAAGATTAACTATTACTTTCACTGCCGCCTTGTTTTCGCAATTAAAAAAATATTTTCCATTTTTGTTACACTTCCCCTTTTTAAAAAAAAAAATATTTAATCCTTTTGTATATTTTTAAAAATCTTTTTTTTCCTTTTCTAATTTGTAACTGTCATAATACTTACGGCTAGCGTGGGAGTAGTCAAGTTCATTGCACACTAAAAAACTAAAAATAAGTAAGGTAGTTGTTAATAAGTTATTAACTTTCTATAAGTTTTTAAAAAAAAATGCTAACTAGATCTAGATCTAGATGTAATTTTTACGGTCGGTGGCGTAACTAGAAAAAGGCTTTCCAGCTAAAATTTCTTCGGGCCCCATATTATATATATATATATATATATATATATATATATATATATATATATATATATATATATATATATATATATATATATAAATACATAATAACATAAATAAATATATATATATATATATATATATATATATATATATATATATATATATATATATATATATATATATATATAAATTCGGGTAAAATATTTCTATTTTGTTGCCGGATTTTGGGCCACCCGCTCATCAGCCCCCAACCACCCCCCTCATTAAGGGGCCTGGCAACATGGCTATTCCGTCCCAGTGATTTTCCCGAATGAACGCTTATGGAAACACGTTACTTTATCATCAGCCTGTATACTACACGCGTACTAAAAAACGCAATCATGATATGGCACTAGCCAGGGTTCCTCACCCTCTGGCACTTGTTGTTGAGAACCGCCGGCATAGTGGCAATCGCAGTATCTATGTCAGCCGATATATTAATTTAATGAACGCTGTCTGGCACAATTCTCTCGAGTCTCTGTTTCCTGAAAATATACTGTAAAAAATAAAAAAAATAAAAAAAATTTGAACAAAAAACGAAGCAATTTATAAATATTTTTTTTTCTAAGCAATGCGATCAATATTCACCTCTATAAACTAATTGGTTGTCCACATCAGTCGTGTAAGAGTTAAAAATTTAACTCTCTATTTTTGCCGGTATTATTCAAACTAAGCGAAGTTTAATCTCTGTTAGAAATTAATTAACCCGCTAATTAAAACATATTATACTTGATGATAAACATGATATTGTTAATTCATTTTTTTCTTGTTTTATTCTGTCCAATGCTCAATGATCGACCCAACAACGTCATACAAATATAGGCCTACCCAAAAACTGTCACACCTCGTCACATAATCCACCCGACCCCATGTCACACCAAGTCACATAAACACACTCTACCCCATAACTATCACACATCGTCACATAAACACACCCTACCCCATAACTATCACACCTCGTCACATAAACACACCCTACCCCATAACTGTCACACCGCGTCACATCAATACACCCTACCCCATAACTATCACACCTCGTCACATAAACACACCCTACCCCATAACTGTCACACCGCGTCACATCAATACATCCTACCCCATAACAGTCACACCTCGTCACATAAACACACCCTACCCCATAACTGCCACACCACGTCACATAAACACACCCTACCCCATAATAGTCACACCTCGTCACATAAACACACCCTACCCATAACTGCCACACCACGTCACATAAACACACCCTACCCCATAACTGCCACACCTCGTCACATAAACACACCCTACCCCATAACTATCACACCTCGTCACATAAACACACCCTACCCCATAACTGTCACACCTCGTCACATAAACACACCCTACCTCATAACTGTCACACCTCGTCACATAAACACACCCTACCCCATAACTGTCACACCTCGTCACATAAACACACCCTACCTCATAACTGTCACACCTCGTCACATAAACACACCCTACCCCATAACTGTCACACCGCGTCACATCAATACACCGTACCCCATAACAGTCACACCTCGTCACATAAACACACCCTACCCCATAACTGCCACACCACGTCACATAAACACACCCTACCCCATAACTGTCACACCTCGTCACATAAACACACCCTACCCCATAACTATCACACCTCGTCACATAAACACACCCTACCCCATAACTATCACACCTCGTCACATAAACACACCCTACCCCGTCCATGACTGTCACAACGCGTCACATAAACGCACCCTACCTCATAACTGTCACACCTCGCCACATAAACACACCCTACCCCATAACTGTCACACCTCGTCACATAAACACACCCTACTTCATAACTGTCATACCTCGTCACATAAACACACTCTACCCCATAACTGTCACACCTCGTCACATAAACACACCCTACCCCGTAACTGTCACACCTCGTCACATAAACACACCCTACCCCATAACTGTCACACCTCGTCACATAAACACACTCTACCCCATAAATGTCACACCCCGTCACATAAACACACCCTACCCCATAACTGTCACACCACGTCACACCAATACACCCTACCCCATAACTGTCACACCTCGTCACATAAACACACCCTGTCCCATAACTGTCACACCTCGTCACATAAACACACCCTACCCCATAACTGTCACACCTCGTCACACGAATAGACCCTATCCACTGTCACACCTTGTCACATAAACACACCCTACACCATAATTGTCACATCTTGTCACATAAACACACCCTGTCCCATAACTCACATACCTTTCTATCTGAAAACGCAATACCCCATAACTATCACAACACAAGAAAAAACAATTCTTATCCCCCCTCCCCATAAAATAAATTATGAACATCACTTACTTAAATAGCCAAAATTCTAACAAAAACAAACACAACTTTTTTCCCTCTATTATTATCCCACACCCACACCAATTCGTCTAAGTAACGCACCTCAACTTAATTCAATTATCTCACAATGCACACCGTCACAAAAAAAACCAAACCACTCCCTAACCCTATATAAGTGTCACTTGTTACGATACCTCCCTATTCTAACATTGAAACTACATTGAGTGGTGTTTCCGTGTTCTTGAATGTCGAGTCTCAATTGACTACCTACACACAGCAGAAAATCAATATCTGCCACAGTCAGCCCCTTAATCACGTGTCAATCACATGACGCTACAATTGTATTTCACCGCCCTGACATTTACCTCCAATGCCGAGATGCATTTGAACGTTAAACAGCTTTAACCAATCAGGGTTAATTATCAAATGATGTTAAGTTGACAAGTCGGTTTTTTGATCTGGGACAAATGATGTAAGGATGATTTATGTCAGGATGTGATCTAGGACAGTTTTCGTAAAGCTGATATGTCAAGTTTGGATCTATGACAAATAATGTCATGATGGCAGATGTCAGATTTTGAATTAGATTGACCACTCCCATTGAGTTTAA